ATTTATCAGCTTCTTAAATATATCTAATGGGTGATGTTTATTAAGCGATTTTTTTTTTTTTTTTAAAGCAGAGTTTTGTGCTTTATCTGACAGGATCATTTAAGTATAAATAAGACTATTTAAAGTAACAAAATTAAGTGCTAATGGACTTTTAAATATGTTGACCATGTTTCAAGAGAGCCAGTGCTTTTATAGCCTAGTAGAGCAGCATATGTTGTAAGAAAGCAATTAGAACTTTAGAATTTATTTAGGTGTGACACGGACTGATTTTCCTTAGAGTTCTGGTTAGTTTTTTTTTTTCTTTTTTATTTCCCTTTAACAGCTACAGAATCCAGAAGTCAGATTTCAGCAACAACTGGAACAGCTCAGTGCAATGGGATTTTTGAACCGTGAAGCAAACTTGCAAGCGCTAATAGCAACAGGAGGTGATATCAATGCCGCTATTGAAAGGTTACTGGGCTCCCAGCCATCATAGCAGCATTTCTGTATCTTGAGAAAATGTAATTTATTTTTGATAACGGCTCTTAAATCTTTAAAATACCCGCTTTATTTCATTTTGACTCTTGGAATTCTGTGCTATAAACAAACCCAATATGATGCATTTTAAGGTGGAGTGCAGTAAGATGTGTGGGTTTCTCTGTATTTTTTTTTTTTTTTTAACGGTGGGAATCAATGCTTTTTCATTTAAGGCTACTGCATGCATCAAACACTCTGCATTTATTGTAATTTTTAAAAAAAAAAAACATCACCTTTTATAGTTGGGTGAACAGATTTTTGTCCTGCATCTGTCCAGTTTATTTGCTTTTAAACATTAGCCTATGGTAGTAATTTATGTAGAATAAAAGCATTAAAAAGAAGCAAATCATTTGCGCTCTATAATTTGTGGTACAATATTGCTTATTGTGACTTTGGCATGTAGTTTTGCAAACAAAATGCTGTAAGATTTATACTACTGAGAGTTTTTGCTTTATTTGTATACAATATAGTATGCACATTTGGGATTGCATTTCTAGAAACATACTGCAATAGATTATCTGAACAAAGCACTTGTAACCAAAAAAGCGGAGATAAGGAAATACTTTAAAGCTGAGTATTTCCTAATTGTGTAGAATCTTACAGCATCTTTGATAAATATCTCTCAGCAAAAGTGCCGGTTAGGTTTGTTGGAAATATAGTAGAAAAGCTGATTCTGGTTATCTCTCTAAGGACATTTAATTGTACAGACAACATAATGTAACATTGTGTCAACATTCACAGATTGACTGTAAATTACCTTCATCTTTGCGCAGACTGAAGGGGCACTGTAGTACAGCCCAAAAGTGCATCTGCCTAGGACTCTTCAGCTTCTCCCATAGGTAGTTTAACAGGCATTACGATTTGTAATTGAAATGTTGCTTTCACTGAAAGTGTCTTGATGTTTCAGTTATTTTTAATTGCCATATAAAAATAGAACTATCTTTTGGGTTTATCAGTTTTCTCATGCACAGGCAATACATAAATTTAAAATGATTTGTGAGCCACTTGTTTCTGAAGTGTTTTGGTAGTTCTATTAAGAAATAGTTAAATAATGTGCTTTTCAGAGCCTCAGAGAAGGGGAGCTGGGGGCGGGGGGTGGGGGTCTCTCCTGGAGTGGGCCAGCCTAAATAGTACTGGCAACCAAGATTCTGTTAGGATTTCTGTGCATATAGTGTAGTAAAGAGGTATCATTCAGGGGTGAAAAACAAAGAGCCGTTTTAACAATGTTGAATTCATTGGGCTGTTGTTCTACAGCCTTTTTCTTCCCTCCCCAAAGAAGTTCTGTTTGCCTAACTCTCAAACTGTTGGGGTGTGGTACATTCCTTTAGGACCAATTAAAACATAACTTTGGGGTCAGTAATATATTTGGCTGACTCTGGTTCAGTATTCTCTTAGGTCGTTATATTCTCTCATGTACAGTTACAGGAAATTAAAATGTTAAAGTAACCTAAAATGAGTTCAGACCAATAAAATCAAGGGAAATACAAGTTGAATTCCATTACTTCTGTAAGTTGCTTGCTATTAAAAAAGGTCAAGAGGCCAGGTTGCCCACCAGCCCGTGCACAGTTCTGACACTTTCCCCAGAAGGAAAACATGAATGACGATCAAGGGAGAGGCAGGACTAGAGGACGTTGTTAAGGATGATATTCATGTGTCTTTGCTCTCTCTGCCTTATGCCTCAGTGTGGTCAAGAAACTTTTGTACTGGCGAATGGTGGTATACAGTGTGGGGTAGTGTCATAACCAATTTGACAATTTATTAATCACAAAATAACAATAAATCTCTAGCTTTTACACTTGGTTTGTCTTGCCTCTTTTGTAGATAGAAAAAGATGTCTTCAAGACTACTGAAGTTGATTTACCCCAGATTTTATCACACTTAAATCATTCTTTATCAGTTTTTAAGTTTCCCCATTTAAAATGAGTATACACTGTATTGTGTATTAAAAAGATAACCAACTGGATGTCAGGTGACCTGGGCTCTGCTTGCTGCTTTTGGTACCTAACTGTTATTTGACTTTGAGTAAAGACATCATGATATCTTTGCTGTAAAAGTGCTGGTGAGGCCTGTTCAGCACACCGGACTGGGTGATCTCTTGAGTACCTTATAGCTGCTGCGATGGTACTATCTTGTTGTTGTTTGGTTCTAATATGTTTTAGATCTAAATACCTTTTTAGGAGTTCAAAATACTTACAAACTCTCAAAAGCATTAAGAACACTTAAAATATTTTAGGCTTACATTGTTCTCATATTGGGTTATTAATTGCAAATTGAATAAATAATGGAATCGTGAAGATAACATTTCAGAATCTTATTTCCCAAGTGGAAGATTTGTGGTACTGTAAACAAAGTGTAGAGAATATTGAACAGTCAGATAAATGGCAGTTGGCCTCTGTGTGTTCAGAACTGGAGCGGCAGACTCTGCTTAAATATACGAATGAAAGGAGTCTTGTTTGGGGAGACATTATTACTATGTTAATTCAGTAGGCAAATTACAACAAAATAAGACGGATGAAAATGTCACTAACAGTAATACAAGTTAAGGGTGGCTGCATGTCTCTGCTTGTACAAAACACAAGATTGTGTGGTTAAGGCAGGGAAATGCTGCATACTCTACTTCCTCTCTTAGAGATTAACACTAAACATGTTAACATCACCAGGAAGCCCTGCATTAAAGAAATCTGTTTAAAGTTGTCTAATCCATTCTCACCGAACACACCTTGGGAAAAGTGTCCTTAGCAAACCTGCACTTCTCTGGTATTGCACATGGTACTCTCTTCTCTTCTTGTATTTTATCTGTCGTCATGCTTTATGTAAAGCCTACCTGCCGTTCTTTCTGGTCTCGGATCTGAAGTCTTCCTAAGCCTTGTTCACCAGTGATTAATTTGAAGTGATTAATTTTAGTGTCAACTGCTGCACTCTGTCCCTCTCGTTTGCCTTACAGTTCTGGGTTTGGGTTGTTGTGTTTGTTTCATTGTTTTGTTTTGTTTTAATGTGTTTTTTTTCTGCTCTGAAATCTTGTTCGTTACTTAAGTAATATTAAATGTTCTTCCTTGACTGCACATTTGTATCATTCCTTTAATCAACCACAGGCAGCCATTGCCTTAGAAAGTTAACATTTATTGGACATCTGTTAAGTATAGGGTTCTTTTCTAGTTGCTCAGAGTATAGCAGTAAATAAAACATGTCCATTTGAGGTTTACACAGGAGAATGTAGGGAGACAACAATAAACAGAACCTATACATTTAGCTTGGTTAGGTAGTAACAGTGCTCTGGCAAAAAAATTAAGCAGAGTAAGGAGCCTAGTTCAGGAAGAAGGTGTTATTTTATGTAGGTGGTCTGAGAAGGATTTATTGAGAGTGACATTTAAATAGAGACATGAAGGTGACCTGCGAGGGTGAATAACTTTCCAGGAAGAGGGACAACCAATGAAATGGCCCAGTGATGGGAGCTTTCTGAGTGTTTATAGAACACAGGGAGTTCTGTGTACCTGGGCAAGGTGAGCAAGGGAGACAGTGCTGTAGGGAATATGATTGGAGACATGAGGGGAGGGGGGTGGCCTCAGATATGGAAGACTTAATACCACAGGTTTTGTGTCCCATCCTCAGGGTGTTCTGATGTACTGGTTCTGGGTTTGGAGGAGAATTTGCATTTCTAACAAGTTCTTAGGTGAGAACCATGGGCTAGGGGAACCAGGGTGGAAGCAGGGAAGCAGGAGGTAATAATCTGAGCGAGAGATCACATGGGCTTGGACTGGGTTGGTAGCAGTGGAGGGTATTAAGAAGTCAGATTTGAGGTTGGATTTACTGATGAATAAAACTGAGGTTAAGAGCAAGAGAGGTGTCAAGCAGGGTGAACAAGGTACAGACATCTATGGGGTGGAGTATAAATCTGAAGTTTTGTTTTGATGTGTTAAGTGGGATGTACTTGATAGGACATATAAGTGGAAATAATAGGAAGGCAGTTGGAAGCGAGAGGTTCAGGCTATGGCCAAGTTGTGTAGCTGCCAGTGTATATATCTGGTATTGAAAGCCAAAGAACTAGGCCAGTGGTTCTCAACTAGAAGTGATTTTGCCCTCCAGGGGGCTCTTGGCAATGTCTAGAGACACATTTCTTTTATTTTTTTTTTAATTAAAAAAAAATTTTTTTTTAATGTTTATTTTTGAGACAGAGACAGAGCATGAACGGGGGAGGGTCAGAGAGAGGGAGACACAGAATCTGAAGCAGGCTCCAGGCTCTGAGCTGTCAGCACAGAGCCCGACGCGGGGCTCAAACCCCCGAACTGTGAGATTGTGACCTGAGCTGAAGTCGGACGCTTAACTGACTGAGCCACCCAGACACCCCATGGAGACACATTTCTTTAAAAAAATATTTATTTATTTTGAGAGAGCGCACATGCGCACGAGCTGGTGAGAGGAGGAGAGGGGCAGAGAGACAGAATCCCAGGCAGGCTCCACACTGCCAGCACAGGGACCAACATGGGGCTCAGTCTCACAAAATGTGAGATCGTGACCTCAAGAGTCAGATGCTTAACCAACTGAGCCACCCAGGCACCCCTGGAGAAACATTTTTTTGACATCACGATTGGGGCTGCTGTAGGCGTCCTGTGAGCTAGACATTTTGCAGTACATAGGATGGCTCCCTCAACTAAGATTTATCTGGTCCGGAATGTTACAGTGCCAAGATTGAGAAATCCTGACCAGATGAATTGCAGAGTGAGTGTTGATAAACACACTTTGGGAGGATTGAGCCTTCATTTACTCTTACTTTCCAGTTGAGGGAGATGAGAGGAAACCAGCAAAGTAGAACTGAGAGGCCCTGAAAGCCAGGAAGGAACGCTTTCACAAGGAGGGAGATGGTAAATGAACTGTGTTGCTTTACGTACTCGTCTTGGTTTGAATATTAGGAGCTACTCCCTTCGGGACTGTGATAAGGGTCTTATGGAGTGATGAGGGTAAAACTCTGGTTAGAGTGCACCAAGGAGGTATCAGCAGACATAGAGTTCTGAAGTAAAGAGAGTCAGAGAAATGGGGGCACAGCTGTCGAGGAGAGTGGTGGTGGTGTGCAGGAAGTTAGCTTTTTGTATTCTTTTAAGATGGGTAGTACCACGGCATATTTGTCTTCCAGTACAAGTGATTGGAGTGGGGGAAAGCTTGATTTAGGTGGAGAATATGGTGTAATTGTTTTCTACCAAAAAGTACAAAGAGAAAGGAGTTAACTAGCTTGTGATCCCCAGAATAGGTTTTTTTTTTTTTTTTAATTTTTTTTAACGTTTATTTATTTTTGAGACAGAGAGAGACAGAGCATGAATGGGGGAGGGTCAGAGAGAGGGAGACACAGAATCTGAAACAGGCTCCAGGCTCTGAGCTGTCAGCACAGAGCCCGACGAGGGGCTCGAACTCACGGACCGCGAGATCATGACCTGAGCCGAAGTCGGCAGCTTAACCGACTGAGCCACCCAGGCGCCCCCAGAATAGGTTTTATAAATAAGCAAGCACACACGCACGCACCCCTTTGTTACACAGGCTGAAGTGTGAGGGAAAGGCTTTCTTTGTCTCTCCAGCCATCATATTCCCTTCCTTTGTTTAGGAGTGGTACGTTCCAGCCCCTCTGAAATTTTTTTTTGTGGCCAGCCCTTTCAGGAGTGAACAAAAGCACCCCCCGCCCCACAGCTTTTGTGTGATGGAAGAGGATGAGGTTGAGATTTCTTGCAGAGCTGGACAGCGATGAAACACGCGCTCAGATTGTAATTCCAATTTAAACTTGTGAACATTTGTTGTATTTCAGATTCCCCGATTGACACGTAGCCTGTCCCAGATCCACAGCACCAGTGTGTCTTACTTGCCACTCTGTGCTTAAAACAGAGCGAGGCACACGTTAGAGGTCCCAGTAGTTTTCCTTAAAAGGTCAGTGCTGAAGTACTTCTGTGTATTCAAGCTAGCTTTTTTTTTTCCTTTTTCCAAAGCTGCTCTGAGAGGGAAGGGAATTTCCCCTGTGCTGTGTTGTCTACTGCTTTGTAACAAACTACCCCACAGTTTGGGTAGGACTTGGTGAATGCTGCTGGAGCAACTGCACAGGGGCTGGGGTATTTACGTTCGGGACAACTTCTTGCCACCGGTGTTTAATTCCTATGTTCTTTCACCTGGGAGTGTGGTCGGGGTCTCATCTCCTGTGCATGTGGGCCTTTGCACAGAGTATTTGTGCTTCTTTACAACATGGTTGATAGGTTTCAAGATCAAGTATTTCGAGAGACATGAACGCTGTCAGTTATTAAAGGTCTGGGCCCTGAGTTGGTCTAGTGTCATTTCTCCCATATTTTAATGGTCATTCTTAGCTTGGCCAGATTTAACGGTCCTAGGCCCCCACTTCTTGATGTGTAGAATGTCAAAGGATTTGTAACTATCTTAATTTACCATAACTATGATCCCAGAAGGGGGAAAATGTTAGAGGAGCACAATTTTCTTCAATGCTTACTCTTTCCCAAGGAAGAAGTAGTAACTTGCCTATGTGTAGAATACTGTAGAAGAACTGTGTACACTTGACTGAGCCCCTTTTCTGGTCTGCTGTCCTAGTGCATGGTAATAAGGTTAGCGACACAGGCTCTGCTTTGTGGGGAAAGCCTGTGGTTTGGGTTTTTTGTTTCGTTTGGTAAAAATTGTGATAATCTAGATGCAATAAAATTCATTGCAATTAGAGTGTATAGTTCACTGGTATTAAGTAAATTCACAGTGTTGTGCAACCATCACAATCATACAGAACTTCATCTCCCCCAAAGGAAGCCTTATAGCCATTAATTAAGCAGTCTCTTAACCATTTCTCTACAACCCTGGCAGCCACTAGTCTGTTTTCTATCTGGATTTACTTCTTCTGGGTATTTCATTTAAATGGAATTACATAATATGTTTGGGCTTCTGGGTCTGGCTTCTTTCCCTTCATATGTTTTCCAGGTTTATCCATATTGTAGCATGTATGAGTACTTCATTCCCTGTCGTGGCTGAATAACAAACACTCCATTGTATGGACAGGCCACACTTTATTCATCCATCTGTTGATGGACACTTCCACCATTTGGATATTGTAAATAATGCTTGTAACATTGGTATAGAAGTATCAGTTTGAGTCTCAGTTCTTTTGGATACATACCTAGAGTGGAATTGCTGGGTCATGTATAGTAATTTTCAGTTTTCACTTTGAGGAACTGCCTATTTTCACGGTGGCTACACCATTTTACATTCCTACTAGCAGTGTATGGGTTCCAGTTTTCTCTGCATCCTCGCCAGCACTTGTATTTTCTGTTTCTGTTTGTTTTTAAATTACAGCCATTTTCCTGGTGTGAATTGGTATGTCATTGTGGTTTTGACTTGCGTTTCCCTAAGGACTAATGATGAGTATTTTTTCTTGTGCTTTTTTATTGGCCGCTTGTATGTTGTCCGTGGAGAAATGTTTAAGCCCTTTGTCCCTTTTTAATTCTGTTTTTTTGTTGTTGAGTTGTAGGAGTTCTTTATATGTTCGGGATATTAAATCTTTTCAGATATGATTTGCACATATTTTCCCCCTTTTCTGCAGGTTGTCTTTTCACTTTCTTGATAATGCCTTTTGCACAAAGGTGTTTAATTTTTGGTGAAGTCCAGTTTATCTTTTCTTTTCCTTCTTCTGTCACTTTGCTTGTGGTGGCATATTTAAGGATCCATTGCCAAGGGGCGCCTGGGTGGCTCATTCAATCAAGTGTCTGACGTTTGATTTTGGCTCAAGGTCATGATCTGCCATGAGATCGAGCCCAACATGTAGCTGTGCGCTGACAGTGTGGAGCCTGCTTGGGATTCTCTCTCCCTTTCTCTCTGCCCCTCCCCAAGCCATGCTCTCTGTCTGTCTCTCAAAGTAAATGAACTTAAAAACAAATAAAAAAAAAAAAAAGACTTCATTGCCAAATCCAGGGTCGTGAAGATTTTCCTCCTGTGTTTTCTTCCAAGAAATTTAGCTCTTATGTATAGGCCATTGACCCATTTGAATTGGTTCTGTGGTTCTAGATTTGCAGCGGAAAGACAAGAGTTCTGACAATTTCCATTCCTCTCTTTCAAGAAAAAAGAAAGAAAAGGAACAAAGACAAATAATGCCTCAAACAGAATATGGCAGCTAGATGTTAAAATGTAGCTAGTTGTAGACCGTGTTCTTGGCCAACCTGAGATCTTAGGTTTTCTCACAACAGTCTTGAAGTTCTTTATTTTCTCTTCTCATACCTACCTCCACTCTGTCTGCATATCCTGCCACTCAGTATGGCCAATATCTTTCAGTGATCAAAATGTGATTTGTGTCCCATCCAGACACTAAGCTTACGGTCTCGTGTACTGTACGCACTGTGACCACCAATCCCAGTCTTAATGTGGTACCTTTGGAAATCCAAACGTCACATAGAAAGCAGACAGTAGGTGCAAACCAGCCGAGCAAAGGCATGCGGGTGAAATCCGTAATCTGTGAAGAGGAAGCAGTTCCAACCCTGGTGTCACATCAGAAGCAACTGTAGAGGTGACAAAATAAGCCTGCTCCAGACTAAGTGGAATTGTTCTGTTGTGGGTAATGTCGGGCATAAGTTTTTTTTTTTTTTTTTTAATTATTTAAAATTTTTTTTTTCAACATTTATTTATTTTTGGGACAGAGAGAGACAGAGCATGAACGGGGGAGGGGCAGAGAGAGAGGGAGACACAGAATCGGAAACAGGCTCCAGGCTCTGAGCCATCAGCCCAGAGCCCGACGCGGGGCTCAAACTCACGGACCGCGAGATTGTGACCTGGCTGAAGTTGGACGCTTAACCGACTGCGCCACCCAGGCGCCCCTCGGGCATAAGTTTTTAAAGCTGAAGTGACTGTAATATGCTGCCACGGTTAGAACAACTTACTTAAAGGGAAATGGGAATTTATTAGTAATTGAAGGCAGTGCTTCTCAACTTCATTGTGCATGTACATCACCTGGGATCCTGTGCATACTCTGATACAAAAACTAAATGGATCCAAGACCTACATGTAAGAGCTAAAACTATAAAGCTCTTAGAAGAAAACAGGTGTAAATCTTCATAACTTTGGACTAGGCAGTGGTTTCTTAGCTACAACACCCAAAACACAAGCAGCCGATGAAAAATAAGTTCGACTTCAGCAGACTCTAACTTTTGTACTTCAAAGTTGATAAGTAAACAAACTCCAGAGAATGGGTGAGACTATTTGCAGATTGTGTATCTGTTAAGAATCTAGTATCCAGGACACAGAACTCTTACAGAACAATAAAAAGAGGAAAAACAACCCAAGGCACGATGGATTTGAATAGATATTTCTCCAAAGACAATAAGCAAATGGCCAAATAAGCACAGGAAAATATATTCAACATCATTAGGGAAGTGCAAATCAAAACCTTAATGAGGTACCACTTCACATCCCCTAGGATGGCTGTAATCACAAAGATAGAAAATAACAAGTATCAGTAGGATTGCGGGTGGGAATGTAAAATGGTGCCACTACCTAGAAACCAGTTCAGCAGTCTTTACAAGATTAACCACAGGAGCCCCAGCTACAGAAGGAAGTGGTATAGATCCTGAGAGATTAATCCACTAGTTCCCTGTTACTCAACCCTCTGACCTCAGGGTATAACCAACTACAGCAACCTGACCCTTACTTAAGATGGAAAGCCTACCAGATGCTCACTTCTTAAGAAGAGAAGTTCAAGTTAAACCCTCTGAGCTCTGCTTGTGTTCAAGAGGTAAATGTGTCCTCAGCTACTTCAAATTTAGGCCTAAAAGACCTTAGTGACAATGATCTGACAATTAGAGGGAAGAAAAGCAATGCCTGCCATCCAGGAGCTGACTTGCTACTAAAAGTGGGGTCTCTGTCCTGCTGAATAATCTTGCAGAATACCTACATGCTCCGTGACCAAAGTCAAAAGACCCATTTTGTAATTGTGCCTGCACACAGAGAAGAACATGAACATTGTCCAGTCTGCAAAAATAACCAGGTATCTCCCTGTTCTAATACACTTCTTTATGAATGATAGCTTTAGCCTCAGTTCATTTTCTCACCTTACTAAGGTACCCAGTCATCCCCTACTTCCTAAACAGCTTCCTTGAATCCTCCCTTAGTTCACCTAATGTGTCCAAGTCGTAAGTCCTTTTGTGACCTCTTCCTGCGATCCCCCCAGTTCTGAAGGTGTGTTCTTTATCTAAGGAGCAGCAGACCCAGCCTGTGTAATGCACGTATGTTCTTGCATCACCTGGAGCGCTGAGCAGTGGCTGCATTTAGATAAGGCATGCATTTTCCATCGTGCCATGGTCCTCACCATTCCCTGATGTCTGTCATATCCCGCTATTGTTTTTGCTAGGCACTCTGGGCATTTCAGTGTGCAGGTCCTGCCATCGCCATGATTTGGGGACATTTCCCCCAGCACCATCTGATTGGATCCTTAGTTAAGGTATGTGTTAGATATGCACCATTAGGTCTTGGGTCCTCCTGAGTGATGGCCCATGATTTTCCAACCTTAACCCAAAAAGTGACATTCAGTTTCTACAGCGTCTAAGATTGCTGGGGGGAATCTCCACTGGAGGGATTGAAGATTGTCTGGAAATCAGCACCAGGCTATACATTTTACACCTGAGATTCTGCAAAGGTTGAAACACCTCCCTGCATTGAGGCCCAACACAGCTTATAGCTTGTAGGCTGATATCTAATCAGATTCTACTTCCTTGGTAATCCCTAAGCAATCACAATCCCATACTATAGTTAATACTTTGTAATTTCAATCATTTTGAACATCCAGATTTGCTATTGAGTGAATGGAGAATAAACTTGCATAGTTTCAGAAAATGAAAATCTCTGGTTGATGCTGTTTTTAAAGTCAACCTGTTTTATTATTTAAGTTCATTTTCGGGAGTATTTGCATGCATGAGTGGGAGAGGGGCAGAGTGAGGGAGAGAGAATCCCAAGCAGGCTCCATGCTGTCAGTGCAGAGCCGGACACTTAACCGACTGAGCCACCTGGGTGCCCCAAGTCACCCTGTTTTAATTTCTCCCTTCTTGCACTCCCATCCACTGACAGGTAGTTTGCTCATCAGAGCAGTCTCTAGAGAGGCCTGGCCTGACAGGTATCAGTTCCCGGACCTTTGGGGCACCTGGAGGTGACACCCATAGTGGTGTCTTGCCTGTGGTTACTCAGTGTGTGGCGGTGCTGTGTCCGGAGCTCAGCCTTTCCGGCCTCCTGATTCCAAAGCTGGTGCGCAGATCTTGGAATCCTGTCAGGCCTCAAGAGCTGGGGAGGGCTGGAAGGAGACCTATCAGAGCCCAAAGACTCAAGATCCTCGTACTTAGCAGGGGTTCACAAGCTCCTCCACAGTCCAAAAAGCAGGAGTGAGAGTTTGTCCTGTGGCCACACTCCCTCAGACTCCCAGGGGTGACGAGTATAACAAGAGCCAACATTTGTCGAGCAGTTGGGGTGTCAGTTTGGGTCTCTGCACTGTGCATGTCTGTTCTCCCAATTGTACGAGGCGGGCGGTGTTTTATAGGAGAGGAAAATATTTAACCTGAGCTTGCTCCCTGGTGGGACAGGTGGTTAAATGGTTATTTGCAGGGTTGAGAAAATCAGGTTGAGACAGGTCTCACCTGCCTCCTCTTCCCAGGTCGTAGAGGCTGAGCAGAAGGGTGGTCAGGCCTGGGTGGGGAG